CAAGCAAATATTGCAGATTGCTAAACATAATGTGTGTGTTTATATTACAAATTGCTCTAACATAATAGCATCCTGTGACTGCTCTACCTGCAGCACATTTGGAATACATTGATATATCTGAACATTATGATTTCCTAACCTCAGTGTCTAAATAAGAACGATGCGTTTGAGTATCTTTCTTGCTGTCCATGTATTTTTACTATATGTGCTTACTCAGTAATTTCTTCTTTCTTCACATTTTGTACTGTGGTCCTTGGAAACATATTGATTGGAAGGCCACATTTTACAGCTCGTGTTACTTTCTAGTGCTGCTATTTATTGAGTTCTTAAATCCATTTTTCTCTGTAGTACACTTTGGAGTGCCATTACAGCAACCCTAGCTTTGTAGACCTATCCACACACTGTAGGTTAGTGCCTATTTGTAGATTCATATTTTTACATTTGCTATACACTGATTGGAGAATTAGATTTCACAGTGCCTGTTACTTATTAATGGTACTATTTATTGACTTCTTAAATCTTTGCTCTACAACAGACTTTGTGCTTCCATCACAGCGAGTAAAGCTTTTCCAGGTCTTTCCATACGTCGCAGGTTGGTGCCTATATAGGGATTCATGTTGTTTGCGTTGGATATGTATTGATTGGAAAATCAGATCTTACAACGTCTGTTATTTCCTGTTGATGTATATTAACACCTGTACACTTGATTATGCAGTACTGAATGTTCATGCAGTTACAACCTCTCTATTTCTTTCTGTTCATAGACACATCTATATCTAGCCTTGATCAATTTTAGTTATCTTCTTTAGTAACCTTTGAGTAATGTTAGATGAGAATATGCGGTCATGATTATCACTCTTTTATGATCTTTTTTTTCTCTCATTTCAAGTGAGGCATTGCCATATGTCAAACCATTCCAGCTACCTACCAGAATACCTAGGGAACTGATTCTGTTAGAGATCCAAACAATGCTACTGAGGGTATCTGTAAATACTTTTTTCTTTTCCAAACTGCATGGTCGATGTTTATTTTCTAGACTTCATTATTTGCAAGTATTTGTTGGTGGTCTTGACCTAAGTGTGACAGATGAACTTCTGAAGTAAACCTTCAGGTCCATACGGACGACTTCTCTATGTCAAAATACCTGTACGAAAGTGTTGTTGATCTGTCCAATATTCGAACAGGTATGAAGAGTATCCTCTTCTGTGTATTATGCAGATCAATTTATAGCCCAGTCGATGCTCAGTAGTAATGCCATCTTCAGTATCCGTTCCATGTTGAAACCTTTTTTGTGTCAATATTTTACTGCCAAAATTAGCACCCAACTGGTTATAGTAATTCCACATTAACTGAGGAGTGTATTGTGTAAATTTAAATCATATGACAAGTCATTCGAAATTTATAGTGAATGTTTCTATAATTTTCTGAACCACATACTACTATATGGAATTTATCTTCTTAAAAAAACTATTTCTTTAGGGCATCACCTAAGGAGGCTAAAAAGGTGCTAAATGGAAGGCACCTACGAGGCCAAAGCATGAGGCTCTCATGGGGTGGTAACCCAGAGGCGGAGCCAGGATTCAAACATAGGGGGGCCATGGTGTCCATGAAGATTTAGGATCCAAATAACATGGGAGCCGAGGTGTCAACGAAGATTTTTTAAGGCTCATAGCCAATAATCTTTAATTATTTGCCCTATGTTCCAAATTATAGGACGTTTTGGCTTTTCTAGATTCATAGCTTTTGCTACACACCTAGATAGACAATTATGTCTAGATACAAAGTGAACACTATGAATACCAAAACGTTTTATAATCTGAAATAGAAGGAGTAGCTGATGAAAATAAGAATGTAGCCACGTTGAATAGAAACCATAAGAGTGAAAAAAATATGACAGCAATTAAGTAACAAAGGAAAATGAGATATGTATCCAATCCAGAAAGTACATTTATCTAATGTAGAAAAATTCTAAGGTATAGAATTATACATGCAACTGGATATCCATTACCATTAGTGATTCATAGCCTTTGTGCTACATCCCGCTGCATAGCGACAGAGCGGCTGATAGTGCGCGAGACTGCGCGGAGTTGCATGTCGGAAGGCATGCATATGCACAGGGGAGCTAACGGAAAGCATCACACTAATGGATATATTGCAGACCAAACTACATGTGCTAATTATGGATTACCATCATTAGTTGTATGTCCGATGCACCCACGTAGGCTACACTGAAGTTTGGAGAGGCAAACTGCATGTACTAATTACCACCATTAGTTGCTAAACATAAGGTTATGTTGCAGACCAAACAGAATGTTGGGGGTGCCTGGCCCCTTCCAGCCCCCCTCCCTCCGCCACTGGTGGTAACCCTGCAAACAAGCAAACAAGCAGGAATTTTTTATGGGTCTGGTCTGGCGTTGATGAGCCTACTCTGAGCAGAAATTTCAAAGAACACAACTCTATTTAAACACAAAAAAACTAATTTTCACCTCTTTAGCTTGTACTAGATTTAGAGTTGTTATTAGTTCCTCACATTTCATATCTGCGGACATGTTTTTTCCTCATAAAGACGAAAGTGTTCTTGGTACCAGGATACTATTAGTTCCCTCTTATTTCATATCTGCGGACATATTTTTTCTCCCATAAAGACAGAAAGTGTTCTTGGTACCAGGATACTTTTATATTCACGGTTGGCCTAGAGATATCTGATTCATCCTGTTAATTACCAAATCTATAACATGCCAATTCTGTAGGAACACAAGTGATGCATTGATCCTCCTCATCAAAAAACTGAAGATCCATGGCCACCATTCAGACAGACAAGGAGGACAAAGACACACAGAAATATCATTCTCAGCATCCCTCGGGCTCCTGTCCAAAAAGGCACCTTCCACCAGTTGCAGTTGTGTACGAATCATTCACCAGTCGTATTATGGCACTGGTCTTTTACAAGAAGCACATGAGATCAAAGCCTCTTCTATGGCCCATCTTGAAACTTATGTTTTTACGCTTTATATAAATTGTAGATCCAGAGCTGAAGAAACCAAAACACATGGCTAAGGCACTGGATGTACCGCCTCTTCCAGCCAACAGAGAATGAAAAAGGTGCTTGCAAAGACTGTTCTTCGTTTTCTATGCAGACTCATCCTATTTAGCACAATCGCGTCAAACCTGAAATTCCTTTCTCTGTGTTACAGGCTTACACAGCCCCTGGATACATCTGAAACTTCGAAGACCAAGTTGCATATACAACTTAGGACACTAATATGTAAGACTGCCTTTTGCATATGTAGCATGGGCACTTCTCATATTCCTGGTTAGGCTGTTTGTGCAGGCTACAACCAGCTTACGTAACACTATGACACATGTGGCTGCCATCCACTACTAAAACCAGTTTATGTAAGATTGTCAGACTCTGACCTATGGCTGACATCTCCTACTAATAAAGATAAACAATGTAAAGTTCTAGAATATCCTCTGTTACCTATGGATTGCTACTAATCATGCTGGCTGCTCAATGTACAAAACCACTCTGTGCTACTCTATGTTATGCAATGTGTAAAGTACCATCTCATGTCATGACCTAAGAACATTACTAAACCCATGTGATCACTTTATGTAATATATATATCCATCCTACTTGTGGTATAATGTCAAATATGTGCCTATATGTAAAAAAAAAGGTAATATTTCAGCTTCTCTATACTGCCTAATTCCATGCTCCGATCTTGAAAAAAATATATAGACACGTTTAGATCTACGCGATTGCATTTTCAACTGACTGCCGACGTGTGCGAGGACGTGCGTGAGACTAGTTACTAGAAGACAAGAGAAGCACCGGCGTCGCGCGGGCAACGGCCTGGGCCACGTCATCGAAATGAATGTAGGCGGTTGGATCCAAATGCTGTGGTGGTGATGTCGTTGACCAGGGAGCCGGACTGTCGCTGACCAGGGAGCCGGCCTGCCGGTGGGTCCCGCGGGTGTGGACGTTGTCGAGCTGGGGTTGGTTAAGGGTACAGCGGCCCCATGCGCAGTGGGTGAGTGCCAACGCTTCCTCTGTTGCGGTGTCAGGTCAGACGGGGTCCGCTTTGCCGCTGTTCCACGCCTAGGACTGGCCACGTTTGGTCGTTGTCGAGTTTCTATTGGCTTGGGGTACAGCGGTCCCACCTGCAGTGCCTGTATGTCTACCTCGTACGCCGTTGCGTTAGAAAAAAGAGCCCGTGCACTCGTTGTCCGTCTGCGGTTGGCTGGCAGCAGGAGGGCCCACCTGCAGCTGGGCGGATAGATGGCTCCGGCGCCGCTCCATTCGGCCAAAGGGGGCGTCGCTTTTTCATGGGAAAGACGGCCTCGTCCGCGGTGCAGGCGTTGGAGACCGACCGTGCGGGCCCATATAGAGAGAAGGGAGGGGCCCCGGGGATCAGCGACGCGTTGGGAGGTGGGGCAGCCGTGGTCCGCGTCGGTGGATGCGTCGCTCGCTCCGTCGAAAAAAACGCACACGCCTCCGTTCCAGCTGCCCTTCCGTTCTGTTGGCTGCGCAAGGTGAGCACCCCGGTTTCTTCCTGCCTACGCCCCTTTCTCTTCCCTTTTCCCTGTGTCTGATCCTCCTCGCCTCCGTCCTGCTCGCTGCGCGCGGGTTGTAGGTGCTAGATCCGGGCCAGGGGCTCGGCGGATTCGTGTCGCGGGGGAGCGGCGGTGCGCCTGCGGAGGAGTTCGGGCGACTGGCGCCGGACAGCTGCCTGCTCTGCGGCGGACCTGCGCTCGAGGCCTGCTGCTGCCGCCGCCGGTCTAGGTATGCTTGCTCAACAATGGCGCTTTACAGTTCTGTGATTCGAGATGAGATTGCCGTTTCATAGATGTGTCTGACATCCTGATCGTTTTCCTTTTTTTCTCTCCTCTGTTTCGTTTCAATTGGGCAATGTCGCCTTGTTTCTGCATTTTGGGTTTTTTTTTTTTTTTTTTGGGGGGGTCGTATTGGTGTTGCGTGCCCTGCACACAGCGGCCCGATGTTTGCTATCCGTGCGTCCTATCTGTCGCTCCTGCAGACTGTGGCGGCTAGTTGCGGGTTGCCGTATGCTTCCGTGGTGTTTGAAATGGCCGGAGATGGATCGCCTGTCTATGGAGTTGAGGTTGACGTGCCCTGCGCTGGGAATGTGGCGCCATGCCGTAGTTTTTTCTTTTGTGCGCCCAGGGATGGGTTCTCGGGGCCTGGCTACGAGCAGGCGGCTCTACAGGCTATAGCTTTTTTGCAGAAAGTGTATGGATTTGTTGTCGAGGATTACAATTTTCAGGGTGTACTCATGTATAGGAGAGTCGCCGGTGCAGCTGTTTCGGTGGCTGCGAGAGCAGCAGGGATGGTTGGTAGGTTAGCGAGAGAGCGGCAGGAATTGGCCATGCAGTCTGACTGCTTGATGAGGGAAGTATCGTTGTTGAGTCTTCTTGTTTGACGCAATCTTGTGTTCCAGAGGATGTATTCTGTTCGGTTTGGAAATAAATGGATTTTTACTGACTCCTTAATTGTTAAGCTGCTACAGTGATGCCAGGTGATGTGGTGCCTTTCGCTCGTGGCGCTGGTAGGGATCCTTCTATATTGGTTTCTCTGTAGCTTTTCAGAGACCCTCACATGTTTATTTGGCAAAAATATCCAATGATTTGATTTCTGTTTGCCATTCATAGCTTCTTCTAGCGCGCCAAATAGTACCTCCAGTCCACGTAAAAGGCTGGGTATGTGGTGTCCACTGTGTTTGTATATGTGGTTGCCTGTCGGCGGCTTTAGGTGGTCCATGGCTGAATCCTGCTTCCTTATAGCCCAGGGAGCTTGTTACGTACCGAGCAAAGCTTCGCCTGCTGAGTGTCGTCGTAAAAGGAAGAAATACCTAGACCAGAAGAAGTTGGTTAGAGCAGGTGCTCCTTGTTTAGTTGTTCCTTGCAGCTTCTTTGTTTGCTATAGCATCTGCGTTGACATTTCCTGTGGTCTTGTGAAACTGTGTCCCGTGTTAGGGCCTGTGGGTGCCTGTAGTGCTGCTCTTGGCTGTGGTCACCTCAACCAGGATTGCATTGATGCGCTGAAAGGTTGGTTTGGTTCCGCGTTAGGATCGTAGTTGTTGATTTCCAGGACTGTATAGTGCAGGCTACTAATTCTGTCTTATTGGTTGCTTGTTTTTTTATACGTGCCTGCTTTGACTATCGTGTGGTGGCTAGCTATGTATTCTGGCCGCTCTTCTTATGGGGCACCAGACTATGAGTGTACGTATTGTCATGCTATGCTATGGTTGCATGAATGTGTCAGGTCAGAATCAGACGTGAGAGGTGGTAAAATTGTTTACAATAGATGCTGTAAGGGTGGAAAAGTGGTCATACTCCCTTATAGAGGGCGCCCTGAGCCAATTGCGTCTCTGGCTAGGTTTGACGGTGATGCTCGATGTAGACGGTTCTTAAAGAACATACGCCAATATAACTGTCTATTTGCTTTTACGTCGATGGGTGCAAACATAGATAGGTCTATGAATGATGGCCGTGGTCCCCCGGTGTTCAAGATATCTGGCCAGATCCACCATCGTATAGGGTCCCTTCTTCCAGATCACGGTGAACTTCCGAAGTTTATCCAACTGTACATATATGATACTGCTAACGAGGTCAGGAATAGAATACGTGCCTTACATCCAGATGAGCGTCCCTCAGATCCTCTAGAACCACCGGTCGTTGGTCAATTGCTGGACACGTTAGACACTCACAACCCATTGGCTAAACAATTTATATTGGCGAGGGTTAGGTTAGCTGAAAATGGCAATGAAGAGTTCATAATCAGGATCATAGGGGCAAGGGAGGGAGATCCAGTGCAATACAATCTGCCCACTACTGACCAACTAGCCATGCTTGTTGTTGGCGATTTTTCCTTGGACACTTTTCAGCGCGATATAGTTGTTTAGGCTAGATCTGGTCACCTACAGCACATTTCTTCTTTGCATCCTGCTTTTATGGCCCTGCAGTACCCTCTCTTGTTTCCCTATGGTGAACGCGGATACCAGGTTGGCGTGGTTTACAGTGGTGTCACTGCAAGCGGTAAGAATGCACGAGTCAAGGTCACCGTGCAGGATTATTTTCGCTATGCGTTCCACTATAGAAAAGAACAGGCAAATCCTTTCCTACGCTACGGTGCCTTATCTACTCAGGCTAAAATTGATGCGCGTGCATGTGTCGATGAAAATAGGCTCTGGTATATTATTCAGAACCAGAAAAAACTTCGTGTGGAGAGCCTACAGGGTATAGTTGATGCCGTTCGATCGTGGCTGTGTAGATGGTGGTGAGATTGGCAAAAGGACCGTCCTACCGGCTTCGCATACAGGTGGTAGGCGTTATATGATCCAGAATTATCATGATGGAATCGCGATCTGTAGAGTCTACAGTCCACCAGATTTTTTCACAACGTTCACGTGTAATCCAAAGTGGCCAGAGATTACTGAGGCTTTGTCCTCTGAACCTGGGCAGAAACCAACAGATAGAGCCGATATAGTGGTTAGGGTGTATAATATGAAGCTCGAAGAGCTCCTTGCTGATATAAAAAGTGGTGCTGCTTTTGGACCTGTGAGTGCTGGTATGTGTTTCTGCTAACTGAATGTTTTGCTTATGTTTGGAGTGCTAGCATGTGTTTGATGTTTTTATTTTTTTGTTTGCTTAGTGCTGCATACTGTTGAGTTCCAGAAGCGTGGCCTTCCCATGCTCATATTATTGTATGGCTCATTCGAGACACTTCGCATCCAACACCTGCATTTATTGACCAATTCATAAGTGCTGAGATTCCTGATCCACAGAGAGACCCCCTTGCATATGCATTAGTTGCAGAACATATGATACATGGTCCATGTGGACCAAGCCATGAAACCTGCCCATGTATGAAGAATGGTAAGTGTTCAAAGAAAATTTCAAAACCTTACCAGAACGAAACTGAGTGTAGAAGACAATAGCTTCGCCGTGTACAGGAGGCCCAGTAACAGTAGATATATTGAAAAAGGAAACACATGGCTAGACAACAGTTGGGTTGTGCCCTATAACATGGGGCTGCTCAAAAAATATCAGGCGCGTATCAATGTAGAGTGGTGCAATAAAGGAATATTTATTAAGTACCTATTCAAATATGTCACCAAAGGCTAGGTTAAATGAAGAGCAGCTTAGCGCCTTTAAAGAAATCACAGAAACCGTTCTAAATAACAGGCCAGGTTTTTTTCTTTGTGTCTGGTTTTGGTGGTACCGGTAAGACTTTTCTTTGGGGGGCTATAGTTGCTTGGCTACGTGCACACCAGAAAATTGTTCTGACTGTTGCCTCTTCTGGTGTGGCTGCTTTGCTCTTCCCAGGTGGTCGTACTGCTCATTCGCGCTTTAAGATACCATGTGATCTAGATGAGTGTTCCGTATGTGACATTAAGCGTGGTTCCATGCTTGGCGAGTTGATTGATTCTGCGTCGCTGGTCATTTGGGATGAGGCTTTGATGACGACCGCCATGCGTTTGAGGCCGTAGATAGAACCTTTAGAGATCTTTTATCACGTGAGACAGAGGGTGCTGAGAGTTTGGTTTTTGGTGGTAAGGTTGTTGTGCTGGGGGGTGATCTAAGGCAGATATTGCCTGTTGTTGAAGGCGGTAGTAGAGCTCAAGTTGTCAATGCTGCAATCGTTAATTCTCCTTTGTGGAAACATGTTAAGGTCCTTTCTCTAACTATAAACATGAGGCTACGCTGTCTAGATTTAAGCATAGATGCCCAAACAGAGATTGCTGAGTTTAGTAGATGGGTGTTAGATATTGGGGAAGGCAGTGTAGACGCCATTAGAAGGGACAGCGAGATAGATGCATCATGGGTTAAGATACCGCGTGAGCTTGTGCTTATGCCACAGGGAGACAAAATTGCCTCCATAGTTGAGGCTGTGTACCCAGAACTATCTACAAGATACTCTGAAAGACCATATCTCCATAATCGTGCTATTCTAACTCCAACCAATGAAATTGCAGACAGTATTAACTCACATGTGGTGTCCCTAATACCTGGTGAAAGTAGAGAGTACTTGAGTTCTGATAGAATTGCTAAGTCCCCTGGGACCCATGCTTCTTATGACCTGCTATATCCCATTGAGTTCTTGAATTCTTTAAATGGCAACAATTTTCCACACCACCGACTCATCCTTTAGAAGGGACCGCCAGTAATGATGCTTAGAAATCTTGACCAGGCCGGTGGGTTGTGTAATGGTACTGAGGCTTATCATCTCTATTAGGTTAATATGGTATTTCAAACTTATAATGTGTTTTGTATTGGAAGTTATAGCTAGAGAAAAATGTTACATATAATAGCTAAGTGTGAGCTGCCTGAGCAATCATGATTTTAGTGTGAAAAAACCTTCAACAGCTCTAGAGATAGACCAGAGACATGCTATTCTTCTATCGTTGTCTTCTACGGTTTTGACTTGGAATAATTTTTTTCTAACACTGCACGATGTAGTTTTCAGTTCATTATAATTCTGGTTTGGGAAAAATTGCCTTTTTTAGCATGCTGGAACTTGGAAGTTTGTCTGATCAGAGCTGGAGGCTCCATCACCAGCCATGAAATTCAAGAGAAGTTCAAGAGCAGCCACCACTTAAATAACATCATTAGCTCTGCACTCATGTTACACGTATGCTAAGTACTGTGACTGTCCATGTACAATATGCAATGTTGCACCATCTCGGTCTAGAAACTGTCTCCTCAATTTATGACTCATGTATGTAAAATATATGTAATGTCCAAGCATCTCAGCATTCAGTCTAGAAATTCTGCTTTTAGGATTGACCTTACGTTCCTTACTCTGTTTTGTGGAAAATTCTGGTTAATTGTGGTTAATTGACCTTATGCCTCCTTGGCTTCCTTTCCTAGGACTGTCTCAAGACATATGTACTATTTGGATACCTTGCATACCGGTTTAGAAATTCGGCCTATGTACTCTATGTCTCATAAGATTATACATAACGAAGATGCTCCTTGTGCGGGCGATGCGGGATAATACCCGTGGGCCGTGGCCCGTGGGACACGCGTTGAGAAGGGCGGGCCTTCGTATGCTCTCCTTGCGCCGCACCGCAACACATGATTGGACTACTGGACTTGGCCCGACGCCGTATCCTCTCAAATTTCCTTTCAAAAAAATCTCTCCAATACCGTTTGGCCGACCGGCTAACTAGGGGACAACAGAAACATTCTAAGATCTACAAGTAAAGTAAGAATAAAATTTTTACTTATACCATCTCGAAGTAAATGTTCAGCCTTTTTTCCTGACTAGTGGACATGCTCATACAAGTAAATTATGGTTTGTAATTTTTTAGTCACAGAGACATATTTATCAGTTTTTAGAGTTTGTATGCAATGGTTAATAAAATAAATTAAATTAACCAAGTTTGAGAGTTCTTTTGTTACATTTGCTTACTAGAGATTGCATTCTTGGTGAGGTTGGAGTGATTCTAGTGCATGTGTTTTGAGAGGTTTTGTATTGAGTGGAACTAGTGATCAAGTTTGTTGCAGGTTTGCTTGTTGCTCTTGGTGATTGATGCCACCTAGACAACTTTGAGCAACGGGACCGAAGCACTCAAACTGAAGATTCTAAGAGATAGTTTGGAGGTGATTTGTGAGAGGGTCTTGTGCTTGTCCTTGCCGAAGTAGGCAAAGAGCAATTTCATTGGAATAGAGGTGTTGAGAGTACCTTGTGATCAAACCGGCCTACAGATCAAACCCTCGAGTTGAGGAGGCAATCTCACGGGTGGAGTCTTGATAGATAAGTTGTGATCCTAGGACTCACATCAATATGGATATAGGTAACCGACTAACCGTTAGGTTACTGAAGTAAGGGGATATATCTTTGTATCTCATTTGAATGGTATTGTTCATTCTACTCATGTGCATAGAGTAGAACTATTGGGGTTTGTCATCCTAAAAGCAAACCAAGCTAGTTCATATCTTAGATTAGAATTATGTAGGTGGTTGATCACTTAGGTTCGTTAAACACTAGCTAGAAGTAGATTTAGTAATGCATAATTTGGTTCATGCATTTGTTTGTCTAGTATTTGTGTTGCAAGAAAAATATTAATTAGGCCATTCACCACTCCTCTAGCCATCAAAGCTACTTTCATGCTCCCACATCGGAGAGTGAGCTTGGCCCCAATGGATAGGACATACAGGCTCAACCCCGATGGGCAAGGTTTGGGGGTAGCTAAAAGCTCTAGTTTGATTTTGGTGAATTGATGAAACCCTAAGTGCTAACCTAGTTTATTTAAGTGATCATAAGATAGGTAGCACTACTTTCAAGTGGTGGAGCAATGGTGAAGATCATGATGACGGTGTGACCATGATGATGATCAAGTGCTTGGACTTAAAAAAGAAGAAAGAGAAAAAAAAAGCTCAAAGACAAAGGTGAAACTTGATAGGAGCTTTTTGTTTTGTGATCGAGACACCTAACGTGAGTGTGATCACATTTAGGATTGATAGCCGTACTATTAAGAGGGGTGAAACTCATATCGAAATACGGTTATCAAAGTGCCACTAGATGCTCTAACTCATTGCATATGCATTTAGATCTAGTGGAGTGCTAACACCCTTGAAAATGTTTGTGAAAATATGCTAACACACATGCATAAGATGATTCACTTGGTGGTTGGCACATTTAAGCAAGAGTGGTTAAGTTGGTGAAGTGAAGGAGGTGATTGTCACTGTTTTATAGTGACCAGACGCAGGTCACGTAGTGACCGAACGCTGTGTGCTGAGTCCGATCAATTATAAATCAAGGCGGCGTGCTCGGGCTGCTCTAGCCATTGATCGGACGTTGGGTCACTTTGTGACCTGACGCGCAGGGGGAGCGTTCTGGTCACCCATGATGTATGGTGACCTCAGTAGAAAACTTGGACGCGCAGAAGAGTTGAACTGATCTAACGCGGTGGCGCGTTCGGTCATGACACATCTGACGCGTCCGGTCATGGTTGCGTGCCTCTGGATCGTCTCTAGACTCGACCGAGACGCGGGGGCGCTGGTGTCGATCGACGCGTGTCGGTCATAGAGTGGGGCGCGCGAGGATGCGTTGATCTGACGTGACGCTGGAGCATCAGGAGGTGGCTCAACACGTCCGGTCATCACTTAGGCGCTGGCGTGGCTGGTTTTGATCGTTGGAGATCGACGATCGTGGTTTAAATGGGGGACATGTGGATGACATCCGTTGACCGGACACTGGGGGCCATGCATCGGTCATGATGACCAGCGCGCCCGGTCGCCCTGTGTGTTGTGTAGTGAGGAGCCTAACGGCTCTATTTTGTGGGGACTTCTATTTAAGCCCCATGGTCGGCTCAAGCTCACTCTATTGGCCATTTGCATTGACATAGCAACCTTGTGAGCTTAGTCAAAGTCCTCCCACTCATCTCCAACATTGATTCATCATCTTTGTGAGATTGAGAGTGAATCCAAGTGTATTGCTTGAGTGATTGCATCTAGAGGCACTTGGTGTTTGTGTTTCGCTGCAGGATTTGCTTGTTACTCTTGGTGGTTGCAGCCACCTAGATGGCTTGAAGCAGCGAGGGTCGATCGAGTGGAGGAAGATGCTTATCTCCAGCTTTGATCATGGTGATTATGAGGGGTTCTTGACCTTTCCTCGGTGGAGAGCCAAAAGGTACTCTAGTGGATTGCCCGTGGCTTGTGTGATCCTCATCTTGTGTTGGTTGTGCGGCACCCTATTGAGAGTTTGGCGTGTGATGCCAATTAGCACGTGAACCTCCAAGTGAGTGAATTGCCACAACGAGGACTAGTTTGCCGGCAAGCAAGTGAACCTCGGTAAAAAATAATTGTGTCATCATTTGATTCCGAGGTGATTGGTCTTCATTGGCATTCATTCTTTGTGATTGATTGGCTCCATTGGTGATTGGATCATTCCTCTACACGGTGGTATAACACTCCATCCTTGCCATGTATTTATCTTTCTTAGTGTAGCTTGGCCCTTTAGTGTAACTAGTTTTGAGGGCAAGCTAAGTGTCAATCTAGTTTGGTTAGTGAAGACTCTTTAGTTAGTCTTTGAGAGCTCACTAACTTAGTGTAGTGACATAGCCATTGTGTGGATAGAGACTCTAGACACTAGAATTGTGGAAGGTGGCTTACTCTTTTAGTAGGCTAGCGTATCATTTGTTTTGCGCGTTTAATTGTCTAATATATTTGCTAAGTGTTGTTGTAGAAATTTTTAAAGGCTATTCAACCCCTTCTAGACATTAGGACCTTTCAAGTGGTATCGAAGCCATGGTCACCGTGATTTGAGGTTTTACAACCTTCAGTGTCAAAATGGCTCAAATCAACAACACCAAGAAGCCACCCCAATTTGATGGCACAAATTATCCATATTGAAGTCTAAGATGACCATACACATCAAGTCAATCAATAGAAATGTGTGGAAGGTGGTGGAGACCAAAATTGAGATAACCAATCCAGAGAATCCCACCACGACCGAAGAAGTGCTACTCCAAAACAATAATATTGCTCTTAGTTCTATTCATGATGCTATTGATGAGATAACATTTGAGTAAATCAAGAACATTGAGATGGTTCATGAGGCTTGAAAGAAGTTGGAAGAATCATTTGAGGGAACCAAGGCAATAAAGGGTGCAAAGACATACATTCTCAAGAGGAAGTTTGCTAGCTTCAAGATGAAGGAAGATGAGAGTGTGCCGGACATATTCCATCGGATGGTGGTGTTTGTCAATGATCTCAAAGCACTTGGTGAGAAAGTGGAGGACAATGACTCCTCTCAAAAGTTCTTGAGATGCTTACCCGCATGATTTGGCAAGTTGGTCACCTTGCTAGTGATGACCGGTTTGGATATAATGACACCAAACCAAATTTTAGGAGATATCATGACCGATGATGCTTATAGGGATGATGATGAGAAGAAAGATGAGAAGAAGGATGATAAGAAGAGTGTGGCATTTAAAGCCACATCATCCAAGGACAAGGCTAAGTAAGACACATAAGTGAAGATGAAGGCTCATTCTTTTGGGATGATGATGATGATGATGATGATGAGAAGATGGCTCTCTTTGTAAAGAGATTTGGCAAGTTCATGGTAAAGAAGGGCTATTGTGCTAGAAGAAAGAAGTCTTTATCCAAGAACAAGGAAGAGTCAAGAAGGTGCTTCAAGTG